TGTATTTGTTCTGCTCCCTCTCAGCAGCACTGAGCCCACAGGTAGCCTCAGCCACAGAGAGCTGTTTCGCACGTCAGCACAACGTCTCAGACAACAACAATCAGTGTTTCTCTGGAGCCAACGGCCACCTCCCCTCCCAGCTGGCAGCACAAAGACCCGGAGCCATCGACAACCAGCCTCTGGTCACCACTGACCCCATGAAGGCAAGAACTCAGTATGGCTGTAATAAGGTTACAGCGCGCGTCCTGTATCACGTTCACAGCTCAGCTGGAGCGTATGTTTGACACGCGAGCTCAGAGAAGCCGCTCGTTCCCTCCTGATTTGCATCATGTTTTACAAAGCTGTGCGTCTAACAGACAGATGTGGTCCTGGCTTTTGACAACGAGGGCGTCTGCAATCTTTAGCACGTGTAAACAAACCAAAGCCGTATGCACCAGATTCTTTCTCGGTTTGTTTTGTCGTCGCTCCTCATCTGCGGGGCCAGATGGTGCCTCTCGTTCCTTTTGTCTTATCTTTCTGTAATCATCGCAGCCTTTCTGCTTGTGTGTAGCATCAGGGTGCTGTCTCTTTTTATTATGTGTAATTCAGAGAGACAAACCAGCGTCTTTGTGCCCCGAATGCTGATGTGTGTCCCGTGTCCTGTGCAGGCGCCCACGTTAACGATGGAGGGCGGCAGGCTAAAACGCTCCCTGCAGCTGCTGCCTCGTAGAGACTTTGAGACGGTGCCAGAGCCTGTGTGGCGGGCGCTCTACCACTGGTACGGTGCCAACCTCAGCCTGCCGCGACCGGTGAGTGAACACAAGCTAATAAACTTCACTTTCACTGTGATGCAGTGCCTGGGAACAGAGTTGCTGGGCTGGAGCAGGTCGTCCATGGCGTCCAAACAAACGAGTGTGTAGGACTGCTAAGTGCACTGGAAGTTAAAAAGTAGCTGCTTTCTATACAAATTCAATAAAAATAAATACAGCAAATGTGTGTTTTTGTACTCCGTCGCTTTTATCCAAGCATGCACAGAGAACCACGACTGTGACAGTCATTAGCACCGATGTGCTGGTGCAACACCCTGTGACGTTTCCACGAGTTTCCACACTGCCGTCAAAATTCAGGTTTATTTATAAAGCTCCAAATCACAACAACAGTTTCCTCAGGGGGCTTTATATTGTACATAAGGTCATCTGTTGACCTTCAGTAACATGCAGATAGTAAGCACATGTTCTCTCAGTAAATATCCTACTTTACTAGTATTACATGCATTTATTGGACTCCACTTTAGCTGAGTAAAGTCACATGGTTTCAGATTAAAGTTAAGAGTGCAGATGTGCTGCATATCTCTTGTTTTATGTTGATTATTAGTACAAGAATGTTTCACAGTCCTTTGAAATTCCCTCCCCTGCAGGTAATCTTGGAAAGCAAGACGGGCCAGCCGGAGCTGGAACTCTTCCCCCGCTACCTCCTCTTCCTTCGCCAGCAGCCGGCCACGCGCTCCCCCCAGTCCAACATCTGGGTCAATATGGGTATGACCAGCCTGCGAATGTTCCCACCGAATTTACCCCCCACAAGAGGTAACGTAAGCCTGCAGCAAGACCAGAGCAAGCCGTCGAACAGTGCTTCGTTCAGCAACCCCGCATCCCCCCGCCTCCTCTCCGTTAATCT